GTACTTTTCCACATGAGGCATCTTGAACTTCTCACATGGGGTGTTCATGAGGTCATTAGAAAGGGGGGGCGTTCCCCCCGATGGCTTCTGCGATCGGTCTGTATAGAGGGGGCCAGAGAGGCACGGTGGCAGGGGTGAGCCTTAGAGACTGCTCCCCTAGTGCGATCTCCAGGGTGACCAGGGCCGAGACTCTCACCGGTGACTTCAGGATCAGGGAGGAGACGTCGGCGAGGTTCCTCGAGAGGAGTCGACCGATGTGGCAGCTGGTTCACGTACTCAGCGCAATCGCTCTGCTGCTTGGTAGCAGCATGAGGAGTCCGAGGTGAGACTATTTGTTATGCTCTAGAAGGGGGGGTGAGTTCCCGATCGCTGGTCTTAAGAAGGGGGGGACAGTGGAAGTAGCTTGCTGCAGCTGTGGAAACCAGCTGAGGAGCTCGCTGGTGAAGGTAGCGAGTTACTGTTGGAGGGATTGAGGGATCTTCTGAGCCATTTCTTCAAGCTGAGCTTGAGTAACGTAGCTCAGGTGTGGTCCTCTAGGGTGAGACTGATCAGCCCTATACTCAGAACCAGACATACTTGCTCGAAAAAGAAAGAGGTCCAATGGTGGGCACCAAACTATTAATGTTAATAATCACACAGATAATAAAATGGGGGTGTGGTTGATTATGGGTCGCTAACTTCTCCGAATATCTGGTTTTGAGTTGAGTAGCTTCTTCCTGCATAAATAGTAACTCGTAAGAGGACGGAGACTAGCTCCCCCGTTGTTCCTCCGACGATCAAGTCGGTGATGGACTTGAGTAAAAAGTGATGAACTATGTGAGTTCTTAGGTGTAGTGGAGAAGAATTTTGAGAGATTGCTCGCTTACCCTATTGTTAAAAATAGTACCCCTATTTATAGTAGTAGTAAAAGGGTAGAATGGTAATTTTGGCTGAGTATGGGATGACGTCCATGTCAGCATATGCTTTACAAGTGTCGATCGACGAGTGGAGGAGAGGTCACATCAGTATTTTATGTTAAGTGATCGGGGGCGTAGCAGTGCCGACGTGGTCCGATGTGTCATAAAGACTTTTGGGGGTAAAGGAATGATGGCGCTTGCCAAGCATTTAATGTGACGCCGACGTGCTGTCAGTGTGGGAGGTTCAAAGTTGAATTCTTCCTTCAGCTTGAACGAGGGGTGTCGAGAAGTAACACCTTTCGAGTCGACCCTACAAGGTGTCGAATAGCTGGTCGAGTGCGCTCGTAACGAGTCGTCTTCGACAAGAGGACCAACATGTACCGCCCTTCGAGTCGATCTAAGGAGATGTCGACTCGGCGAGTCAGCTAAGTCTAGATTCTTGGTGGTCCTGACCGTCAATTCGATTTGAGCGATGCATGTAGGGGGACACCTGTCCGTTGCTGGGAAAGGGCCACATTTTGACGACTAGAAATATCATAACAGTTATAGTTTTTAATATACTGATTATGATCTTCTCCTTTTGGTACTATTGGTAAAAATGTTGCATAAAAGCCACTGAAAATAAAGAGCATGAAAAAATAAACCAAAACAACACAGAAAAGATTTTACAAATATTGGCTAATGAAGTGATTCTATACTAGAATTAGTTATAGTGGGATCAATTGAGTTTGTAATTTCTGTAATTTGAAACCAAGGTTTGTTTTTACCTGTTTTATCTTGTATTGCTAAGGATTAGTTATCCTTTGTATGTTAATTTTAGTCCTAAATTGCATCGATAGGGAAAATAGTACTCGAAGATAGAGGGTCATCAAAAGATAACCAAGGCATGGTTTGTGGAGAACATAGTAGGAAATAAGTGAATCCTAAACTGAACCAATAGGGAAAATAGTCCTCAAAGATACAAGCTCATGTTCACGAAATTATCTCCAAAAGTAGAATAGCCAATTATTAGTAGAAGAAGTGCATGGAACTATGTCCAGTCACTTAATCTCCTATATCAATTACAGGTTAGGTCATTAGTTTGAATGTTTGGAGAAATTACATCATATGAATATGTTTTCATGTGAACTTAGTTGTAGCGTTGAGTAGTTTAAAGATTATTTGTTGACCTCTTAATTACTAAGTTAATAGAAAAATATTTCATGTATTGACTAGAATTTGTTGATGGAGTCATATAGGTATAAATTTTGGTACATACGCAAGTAATTAGGAGAACTTAGCTCATCTTGATAAACTTGTCCCTCTTAATTATATTAATTTGTACTTAAAAACTTTTTAAATTTGTTTATTTTGTAGATTCATTAACAAGCTCATATACATGTGTTGGTGCAATTAAATGGTTGTTTTTCTCAGAGAAATTTTTCCTTTGTTGGCAATATAGTGGGTGCCTGCTATTTAATTTTCGTCATATCTCATCCTCAAATAATACTGCAACTTTAAGGATTATTTACAATTTAAAAAACTTTTTCCTAGCTTTGCAAATGTATTCTTAAATAATATTGTTTTGAGATCGATCATGAACTAATTTTTTTGTCCTTCTTTGTATGGATTGTACAGCTCAAACGAGAAACCCACTCGTAGCCCGAGGATGTAACAGTAGTTTCGTATCGATGCGGGTACAATCGAATAAGTATATGAATCACATTTGTGTATAGTTTTTTTTTTTTTTTGATCGAAAAACAGGGGTTATAACCCCGTTCATTAATAAAAACCAAAAACAGACAAGAGATTGTTAGTTACAAAAACTTAGACACAAGTAGTGTCTAAAAGGTTGTAATATAGAAAGGTAGAATTTCTACTAGTATTGATGTATAACTTTCTTCTCCCAAAGATCCATGAAGGTGAAGAGAGGGCCTTGCCGTCATTCCCCGTTGACACAGATTTAAGGGAGAACCAAAGCCAGCCATACATGTGCATAGTAGAAATTAAACTTTCTATGAAACAACAAGAAAAAACATAAAGGATTAGGGTATCTAGAAAGATATTTACATTATATATAAGCCAAAATAAAAAGATCCAGTGAGATATCTTCTGCCTTCAAACACTTGCTCGAGAAAGAGGAGATTTTTCCAACCTGGCTGACAGTTCTCTAGCCGCTGCTCCTTGCCCATTACCTGACCATTCATATAATCCATATATTGTATTATTAACAATCTTCTTGTAGGAAAAACAGGATTTATCAAATAAACTTTTATTCCTACTGATCCAAATGTTCCAGCAAATATAGGAGAAAAAGCCACGCCAAATGTGTCCAGCACCTCCTCGAAGCTTGCTAATGATATGCATTAAATCTGAAAAGGATGATGGCCATGTAAAAGGAAGAAAGTAGTTTTTAAAATGAGACCAGACATGCGATGATATTGTGCATGAGAAAAACAAATGATCCCTGGTTTCTGGTTCTGAACTACAGAAAATACATATCGAGTCTCCCGTCCAACCCTTAGATAAAAGATTATCCTTGGTATGGAGTTTGTTTCTGCATAGGAGCCAGATAAAGAAACTGATTCTAGATGGGGTTTTGGTCTTCCAAGTAACTTTGAAATGAGGTGATAGGATACCTCTTTGGTTAAGAAACTGATAAAAGGACTTGACTGTGAAAGTACCAGAACTTGTAAGCAGCCATCTAGGACTATATGGAGAAACAGAAATTTGAAATTCCATTAAAAAATTCATTAGATTATCTTTCTCCATTTGAGTAGAAGAAGAGATACATTTGTGTATAGTTATTTAATTGTTCATTTAATTGTACAGACGTTTAATCATGTTTGAGTGCTTTCATCTATAGTCTGTAATAAAGGAGTTTATTTTTATTATTAAAAAATATGAAAGGAGAAGATTCTAGCAACATGGTGCGGATATAACACTATTAATATCATATTCTTAAGACTATCTCCAGCAGGAGTCGAAATTTTAACATTCTCTCTCCTGCCACATCACTTTATTCCCCCTCCACATAATTCAACAATCTTTATTTTCTATCATCTCTACAGCAGGAGTTTTTTCAAAAGATTTTTACTTTATTTGGGACCCACTATAACCATCACTCCAACATATATACCCCACCTTATTTATTCATTTCTTATTTCATATTATATTTACTACTACTACTATTATTATTACTAATATAACTCATTTATTTATAATTATAATCTTTTAATATTTACATAAATAATATATATTATTAATTTAATTTTTGATAATATTTTTGCATTAACAAAAAAAACACACGATTTTATTAAGCATACGGAAAAGTCAAACACACACAAATTATTGAAAACATTAAAGAAAACACACATTAAATTGGTAAATCTAATCAGAGGTTGTTCCAAATTTCTGCCAAATGTGCTCGATGAGATCCTTTTTCAACTGAATATGTTGGCTCCTATCTCGTAGTTCGGCTCTAGTATGATTATCCGATCCGGATCGGTTTCGAACATGGACTTGAAACTCAGGCAATACGTCTGTTTGAACACTGGAAGAGGCGGAAGAGCTAGGATTGTTTGACGGTTCAAAGTCGATATTTTCCCAGTTTCGCGAATACGAATCTCGTTCATCTTCCACTATCATGTTATGTAAAATAATGCACGCCCTTATTATTTTACCTAAGACTTCAAGATCCCACATTCGAGCTGGTTGGCGGACAATAGCAAACCGTGCTTGGAGAACCCCGAATGCGCGCTCCACGTCCTTCCTGCATGACTCCTGTTGTTTGGCAAAACATTGTTGTTTGGATCCCTGGGGCATTTGAATTGACTGGACGAAGACATGCCATTTTGGGTAGATTACTTCAGCAAGATAGTATGCAATATTGTACTACCGTCCATTAACAGTGAAGTTTACCCTTGGAGCTTCACCAGACTCAATGTCATCAAAAACGGGTGACCTATCTAGTACATTTATGTCGTTCAAACTACCAGGAAGCCCAAAAAAAGCATGGCATATCCACAAATCATATGACGCAACTGCCTCGAGAATAACTGTTGCTGTGCCCTTGTGTCCACTAGTAAACTGCCCTTGTCAAGCCTTTGGACAATTTTTCCACTGTCAATGCATGCAATCGATACTTCCAATCATCCCTGGGAAACCACGCTCTTGTCCAACTTGGATTAACCTCTGCAAGTCTTGCACATTGGGTCGTCTTAAGTATTCATCTTGAAACAAGGCTATTACCCCTTCGTAAAACCTCTGAGTACACTCAACCGCAGTAGATTCTCCTATCTTCACGTACTCATCACAAGCATCAGCTGCTACTCCATATGCGAGCATGCGTAGGGCAGCAGTACACTTTTGGATAGGGGTTAAACCAAGCTTGCCCGCATTATTACGACGTTGTGTGAAGTAAACATCGAAATTTGACATAGAATCCACAATTCGTAGAAAGATAGGCCTATTCATTCGATACCTTCGTCGAAATTGGGCATCAGTGTATGTGCATGATTCGACAAAGTAGTCGGCGATGAGCCTCTCATGCGCTGCTTGATGATCTCTATATATGGACCTTCTCTTGCGCGGTTGTTCTTCTCTCCTAAGCAACTCTTCAAGCAGTTCTTGTTGCCTATCAAACATTTTATCTTCTAACTCTCATTCTTGTTGGAAGTATTCGAGATTGAATTCATTTAGGTTTGGATCCATTGGAGGGTATGTAGAAAAAATGTTGATAGGTATACTCCAAGTTGTGCATTTGGTCAGCATTTATAATGAAAACCTTTGTTCAAAAACATGCAATTGCAATGACATGTCGCGGATGGCATGCATTGCAGGGAGTTGTCAATTCATGCCTTGTCTTTAATTGCAGAGACTTGTCAATTCATGCCTTGTCTTTAATTACAGAGAGTTGTCAATTCATGCATTGTCTTTAATTGCATATAGTGGTCAATTCAACCCTTCGTCTTTAATTGCAGGGAGTTGTCAATTCATACCAGAGAGTTGTCAATTCATACATTTTTTAACTTTAATTGCAGAGACTTGTCAATTTAATTGGAGAGGGAGTAGTCATTTCAATTGGATTTATTCAAATAAAAAACAACGATTTTATTCAACACTCCAATTTCAACACACAAAACACTTAAAAAAACACTTAAAAACACATAAACAAACTAACAGACAAACAACAACTTCTTCATTTGCCAAACAGTTCTTTCCTCAACAACTGATATGCTTCTTCATCTTCATCGTCACGATCTGGTTTGTTTTTCAAAAATCTCCACGTCTCCATATTCTTGGCACGAGCGAGGACATTCATAGCTTCAACAGTACTTGCTCTATTCGCTTCCGCCTTTTCACGAGAGGTGACTATATTGGATAACTCATCCTGAAGTTCGAGCTTCGATTTCCTTGGTTTACTGGACGAAGCTCTAGCTTTCTTCTTTGTCGTGTCCCTACCCTCAGGACGTACGAGGGTAGGAGCGGAGGATTCAACATCTTCACTACTACTCTTTCTTTTCGAACCGCTACTACCCGATACTGCTACTCCTGGCATATATTTTGGTTGATTGCGAACAACCTTCCACTCATCCACCAAATTAAACGATGTACCCATTTTCTCAAAGTACAACTCCCTGCCTTTGGATATGTAGTTTTCATCAGACCAACCACTTTGCTTCTCCCTACATGCAGTACTGTAACAGCCAATGAAACTGGAAATTTTTCTGTTGATGTCTTTGTAATGACTCTGGCACCGAGCTATGGTCCTCTCTTTTCCACTCTTGCCATTCTCATTCTCATTCACATACTGTGTAATTTTACCCCAGAAAGTTTCACCTTTTTGGTTGTTCCCCAGCTCACTATCATTACTAGCGTGAAAATAAGCAGTTAGCAGAATTATGTTGTCTTTTGTGCTCCAACTATCGTAACTTGATCTCTTTGTTGGTTGTTGGGTTGGAGGTAGAAAACTATGAGGAGTATCCCCACCAACATTTCCCAAAGAGATCTGGGTGGAAAAATCCGAGATTTCTGTAGATCCGCTACTGAACCGGGGTGTCGGTGGCTCAATCGACTCCGTGGTAGGGAAATTCCTATGGGATGGAATATAGCTGCTTCCTGCAGCTGGATGATAACCGTAAGGAAGATAAGGGTATTGCATGCCAAAATTTGGTGGCATCATATACGACATTTGAAAATTGGGTTGCATACCAGCATTTTGAGTATTTTTCGGGGCTTGCATATTTGGATTTTGAGGGTTGGTATTTTGAGGCTGGTTAGGAAAGTTGTAGGAGAAATTAGGATAATTTTGTGAAGGATCCATTTGAAAAAGTTTGAAGAATATAGAAGCAAAAGCAAAGAGAAGGAGAATAAGGTGTTGAAAACTCAGATTTTTTTTTGTGTCCAAATTACACAAGACTAATCTCTATTTATAGAGGTGAAAAAATAAAAATTATTGCTATAAAAATTATAAATTAATTCCTAGTATTTATCTTCCAAAATATCATTTAAAAATTAGGAGTAAAACAAAAAAGACCAACCAATCAAGCCTTGACACATGGCTCCAAGCATGGGCTGAGGACAATTCGCGGGACCCACTCGGTTAGAAAAACCGGAGGTGAAAAATTCATCCATCCGACTTCGGTTTTATCATTCACCACTCAAAAAACCAACTGCTGGAGCCAAAACCCCCCCAAAAAACCACCACTTGGAGATAGTCTAACCCGAGCTAATCCTAGGTCTAATTATGCAAGAAGATTTCAAACCAAATAGAATGTGATCATGATTATAAAGAGATACATAGCACTAAAGTGAAGAGTATGATAAGCCTAAAAAGGTTATGAATAAAAGAAAATAAGGAGATGAAAGATAAAAAGATTAAGATAAAATATGAGGAGTGACAAATTATTTAAAGTATCAATATGTCTAAGATATTTAGTTATATTTCCTTTGCCAACAAAATCTGTAAAAAATAAGGGGGGGGGGGAAGTAAAATTTTAAGTAGCTTACCAACTTCAAGTTGTTGAGTTTTTATCTTTTTGTTCAAGTTGCATTTTTTGTTGAATTTGTTAGCTTGTTTGTTTTTAGTGAAGATTATGGTGAAAGTCATGTTGATAGTTGGTATTCTTGTATAAATTACTAAGATGTTTGTACTGATGCTGTGTAGTTAGCTTTTGCACCATGCGAAGTGTGTTTCTCATAAAAACGACAAGATTAGTGTATGCAATATTAGTTGTCTTTTAAATGTTTCATTTCATATGGTTTCTTAGCATGCATCACGTGCAACGCACGTAGTGCATACCAGTATAACAAAGCAAGTCATTTGAACTATGTGTGTGTTTTGGAACCTTCACTTCCATACCAAACTGAATTGCTGAACGAAAACATGACTGTTAATTCTATAGGAACTATCTTTAATTTTCACTTTATGCACAAATTGTTGGATTTAATCTAATAAATCTAATTGTGGGCACATATGATTAATCAATGTGTATTCCTATCTTTTAGGATAACGCACTAAAGTGATCAATCAAGTTGGGTTAATGGGTATTTAAATAAGTCATGGGGTTATATGTGCAGATACCAGGTTGTAATTGTAATTTGTTGAGGGGCCAAATTGCAAATGTACAACATCTATAAATAAGGGGTTATGGTCCCTAATCCAGAGTTACATTCTCTAATTCTCTTCACCCCCATCTAGAGAGAAATTCGGCTAGAGAAAACCCTAAGGTTAGAAGATCCAAAACCCATCTCATTGATTCTTGTTAATCTCTTTGAATTAATCATGACTTTATGGTTTTAGATCTCAAGTTCTTTATTAGACCTAACAAGTGGTATCAGAGCCATCTTTGATTAATTCTTAGGGATTTAAGGTTTTTAAAATTGGGTTTGGTCGGCGGCGGTTTTAGTTTGAAACCCTAAGGGTTCGTGCGATTAATCGTGGCGAAAATTAAGGAGGTGGTTACCTCAACCGAACTTCGCGTTCGTTATAAGGTGAGCATCGCGCTCAATTTAAACGAACTTCGCGTTCGTTCTCAAGTGAACCTCGCGCTCAACTCAAGTGAGCCTCGTGAATTTAAACGAACTTCGCGTTCGTTCTCATGTGAGCCTCGCGCTCAACTCAGGTGAGCCTCACGCTCAATTTTAACGAACTTCGCGTTCGTTCTCAGGTTGAGCCTCGCGCTCAAATTCAAACGAACTTAGCGTTCGTTCTCAGGTGAGCCTCGCGGTTAATCTCAAGTTGAGCCTCGCGCTCAGTTCTCAGGTGAGCCTCGCGCTCAATCTAAGTTGAGCCTCATGCTCAGTTCTAAGGTGAGCCTCGCGCTCAGTTCTAAGGTGAGCCTCACGCTCAATTTATATCGAACCTCGCGTTCGTTTTCAGTCTAACCTCGCGTTCATTTTTCAAACGAACCTTGTGTTCGTTCTCAAGTTGAACCATGTGTTCATTTTTAGTTGAACCTCACGTTCATTTTTCAAACGAACCTCGCGTTCGTTCTCAAGTTGAACATCAAGTTCATTTTCAGACGAACCTCGCGTTCATGCTTAAGTGAGTCTTGTACTCAATACAGTCGAACATCGCATTCGAAGTCAAGCGAACTTCGTGTTCACTATGGTTAAGCCTCGACTGTTCATGGGTCCACTTTGATATACTTAATTTATTCAATTAAGCTATGGGCCCTAATTAAGCTGTGAGACCCCAATTAAGTTTTTTTTTGGAAATTCAGTTGGTTTAAATTAAATTTAAATCTAATTTGGTTTTTAATCAATTATTTAATTCAAATATTATGACACTAAGGTATTAAGGTTGTCTCTCACTCTAATTGATTAATTGAAACAAGAAGTTGCTAAAGTAACCTCTCTTGTGTAGATTGTTCAAGAGGAATGTGAGATGTTTGTGTGTATGCTTTCGTGTAAATATTTAATCGGCCCAAAGGAAGGTTAATATTTATTTAGACTGTATACACATTTGCGATGATAAGCGTGTGACAATTATAAGGTTTACATGTGAATAATGAATCGATCCAAAGATAGTTTCAATTATAAGGTTTACATGTGAATAATGAATCGATCCAAAGATAGTTTCATTATTTGACATGAGATATTGTTAATGTTTGATCATTGCAACAATGTATCACTTACAAGTTAATATTACTGTCCAAAGACTTGATATTAATATTATGCCAGATATCTTGGATGTGATTCGTCATTATTTGAATTTTATTGATTAATAATTATGGTTATTGATGTGAGCATTTTTTGTTTTATTTCAGCTAATGCATCTGCTGCAACAATTTCTGCTAACATCAACTCAATTCCCATGCTAAATGAGACAAATTTTAAGGTTTGGAAAGAGAATATATTAATTGTTCTTGGCTGCATGGATCTTGACTATGTATTAAGAACTGAACAACCCCAACCTCTCAATGCGGATAGCACTCCTGATGCAAAGAAGGAGCATGAGAAGTGGGAGCGTTAAAATCGCATGAGTCTTATGATCATTAAGCACGGCGTTCCGGAAGCCTTCAGGGGCATAGAATCCGAAGGGATTACTAAGGCTAAAGATTTCCTTGCCGAAATTAAGAAGCGTTTTGCGAAAAACGATAAGGTAGAAACAATCATGCTTTTAGCTCGCTTGATTTTAATGA